AGAGAATAAAGACCGGAAAAAACAGAAAGAGACACGCAGTCCCCCCTGGGTGTGCGCGGGGTGTCCGAGGAAAGTAGTCGATGTTTCGCATGGAGGTTAGTACCGTGTCGGTGACGCTTTTTCGTCGGAAGGTTAGTAGACGATGAACCGGATTGATTTTCTCTCTGGGGCGAGAGCTCCCTGCGACGCTACGGGTTGCATTTTTTTTTCTCCTCCGCCCCAGTGACGTCACGCAAAAATATATCGCCACGAAATCGGCAAAAACATAATTGTTCTCCCTGGAAAAATTGAATCGATTCTCATTTAAACCCCTCGAAACGAGGAGAGTGTGTAGAAGCGAAATAAATCGCCGGAATTATCGCACTTCCGGCGCAGGTCTGGAGTCCACCCATTGGCTCCAACAAATATTCGATGGCGCGGCATATATATATGCGCAAACGTTGACTGGAAAAATCGCAATTGATGGCTGTTGGGCGGGTGGAGGGACTCGGCAACGTTGGAGTGAGCCGTTGGTACGTCCAACGTTGCCAGACACAACTACGGGGCGCGCGCTCGAGTGTTATACCAACTAGTGTAAAATCGTCGTCTCCTCTCCCCGATGACGTCACAGGCCGCACGATAAACCGAGGCACGTAGCCACTGCCAGCCCGGTTTCCACCGCCAGAGCGTGACTTACACTCGAAAAAAAATATCACTTCAATACCTCAACTCTTTCGCGGCGCTGATTTTTTTTTCTCTCTCTCTCGATTTTTCATTTTGCGAATTCTTGGGATTACGTTATCACTTCGTAAACGAGCATTCCAGCACTTTTCTCGTACAGATAAGGGTATATTTAATAACAGAAATATTTATGCAATCAAGTTATTAATGGGAATACAGCAGTTCTCAATGGACCGATAAAACGCCGCGGTTTAGCTATTAATACATTCTAAATTTTCCACCGGGGTTTTTTTTTCTTGCTTTGGAGTTTTTACATCCACTTAATCACCGCATATCTCGCTGAACTGCGTGTCTAGGGAGATGGTGACGCGGGAGGGGGAGGGGGAGAGAGATGGCGAAACTTGGTGGCTCGTTACGTCACTTTTAATTATCTCTTTGAAGTGTGCTGTATCGGTTTAAGGAAAACTGGTGCGACAGAGGGGAGGGGAATGAGTGAAAAAATTATCTCGCTTGATTGTGACAGTGGCGAACGAGGCATCTCGAATTTCGCGGGATACGAAATGCTGATGAATGCGGCAGATTTTTTTTTGTTTATTTCGGCGACTGAAGGGGCTCGTCGGGGGGGGGGGGGACAAATTTCGGGGGTTAGGGGGCATTNGACAAATTTCGGGGTTTACGGGGCATTGAAATGATGTGAGACAATTATTTTTCATATCGTGCCAGCGTAATGGGTTCAAGGTCGGGCGGATTTCTCTACTCTAGACGGAAATAAATGGGGGCACATGAATATTTCAATGTTTTGAATGAAGAATTGAGATGACAGGGGCGCAATCGATATTTGGGGAATCGGATTTGAGGGGGATTAATTGGGGAATGGCTCTGTGGAAGCGCCTGATGATTCCTGTCATTTTAAAAGTGTCCCGGGGGACAATTTTTACGGATGTCATGTAAAAGTCCTCCCAAGACCAGTAAATAGCCGGATATTTATCGGTAAATTGTTGGCGGGGTAGAAACGTAACTTGAATTTTGAAGATTAAGGATGTTTATCCAAAATCGCAAATACTTAAAAAAAAATATTTTTTTAACCGAGAGATGAAGATATTCCCTTCACTTTGATGGAAATTTCGGTCCACCAAATTATGTTCGTTATTTAGAAATGAAATCCTATCCTATTTTCCTGTTTAATAAGATGAAAGAAACGTGAAGTTGTTTTATATCGAAATATCTCGAAACTGCCTGACCGCGAATCCTCAATTCTGATTGCTGAAGAATGATGGAGTCACAAAGACCATAGCAACGACACCATGGTTTCTTTCTTTCCAGGTTTAGTCATTTCACTAGTGAAGTGGTAAAAGTCGATTTTGACTATTGGCCAGTTTTCAATAAATATCTCGGCATCTAAGGGAAATAGCGAAATTGTTGTACTTTCCTTTTTTGTAGCTCTCAATTTGCTCTACAAAAAAGGTTATGACAAAAATTTTGCTATTTCCCTTAGATTTTGAGATATTCATTGAAAACTGGGCAATAGTCAAAATCGGCTTATACCGGTTTACCACTTCACTACTGATTTGTTTATATTATTTAGTAAACATGCGTTTGGAGTTTCGTCGTAAGACCACACAGACGGTCTCTCCAGGAAGGGTGACCTCATACTTTAATAATCAAGTAATAGAGTTCAGTAATATGACCGTATTGTTTTTGCCCATTTCAATAAACTGCCCTGGAAATTTCCGTCAAAAATTATCAACAGTGCATCATGTATTGAAGATGGGACTTCCAGTGGTGGGAGCGTCACAACTGCGACGTTTACGATTTATTTACGTCTGGCCGAGTCGATAAATTGTTTGAAAGAAAAATGATTCCAAGAGAGGGAGTTATCACATCCTCGCCTGTCTCGCTTATCGGGAATAATCTCACTTTTCGTAAATAGAGACTCATGTTACCAACTCGTGTTCACGATGATGTCAGATCGTTGATGTCATTTCGACTCCAGAAAAGTCAACATCGTGAAATTAATAACTGAGGTGGCGAATCATCTCGCCGGAACGAAACAAAAGGCGTGAATGAGTAAAGAAAATTCACCCCGGTGTAAGGCGGTCAACGACTGGGGACTGGGTTGTAAATAAATTGCGTAACGCGTTTTAAAATCATACGAGAGACCGAGCACGGTGAAATCGAGCTGGTGAGGTACAAAGTGTCTCTTGTTGTGTTCTGATGCTGATGTTTGTAATAATAGTAACGTAGGGTATAAGAGCGTGAAGGCACCTGGTGAGATAAAAATCCGATACGTCAATGCTTGGGGGGGTTTATCTGGACATTATCACGCGTGTTAAACCTCAACGGTGATAAGCCCATTCGTTTTATTTATTGAATAAATTCCCAGGTGCATATCGCATGGCGGAGTGCAGATAAGAAGCACGATCTTCATAATTTCTCTTATTTAATTTCAATTTTTATCTGGAAATGATTTGGGTAAAATGAGCATTCTTGACGCGTCAATATCTCCTGAGCAAATGCCATGATTTTTGTGAGTCATATCTCATTTCGAAGTCGGGAAAAATATCTTTGAAGTGAAAAAAAAATCGTTGAACTTTTCGCTGCCAATTTCGAGATATTAATTATTCAAAATAGCCTGTTTGACCCGTTTTGTGCGAAATTTTTGCATTTATGGGGTCTTCTGAAAGGATTAATGTGATGATTATTAATAATGAATTTATAGTGACGAATTCAGTGAGGAAATAGACGAAGCGTTTATGTTTTCTGATGCGTTTTTGCGAAATATCTCGGGATCCAAGAGAGATAGCAAAATTTATTTCAAGAGCTTTTTTGTAGCTCTCATTATCCTCTACAAAAGATATCTTGATCAAAATTTCGCTATCTCCTTTAGAATCTTAGATATTTATCAGAATACGAACCTAGAATGGCATTTAACTACGTCATAAGCTCGGGATGGTAACTCGGTATTGGTCGAGTGAGAAAAGCCAATCATAGGCCGATGCGCGCGCATGAATTTGATTAGGTCGGTTACAATACGCTATGTGATTGACGCGAGCATTTAACGTCTAGTTTCTGAATTCCTTGGATTTTTATTTCCATAAAATGAATTATATCACAACAAATCGAACGTCTTGTCACCATTAAACAATCTAAAATATTCTCTCCCCACGAACAACAAAAATTCCACCAGTAAAAAAAAAAACCCCTTTCATTCAATAAATAAATTCGAATAAATCCAAAAATTGTACGAATTCTGTATAAAACCAGATCCTCACTATTAAAAAAAATAGAACACCTTGCATTCAATTCATAAACTCGAATTAAAACAATAAACAGCCAACCACCGCCCGATGTGCGCGCACCTTAAAGGGACTTCAGCATTTACCATATTCAATTTTTGAATTCCTTGTGTTTGTATTCCCACAAAAGAAATTATTTCCCAACAAATTGAACCCTTCCATCAACATTACACAATCTAAAATATTCTTCTCTCACGAATAACAAAAATTCCATCCATTAAAAAAATGAACCATCTTTCATTCAATCATAAACTCGACTTGAAACAAAAAATGAGGAGCCAATCACCGGCCGATGCGCGCGCACAAGCTAGATTAGGTTTGCTCCAAAACCCCCTGTGATTGGTCCGTGCTGTCACGTGACCCTTTTAACGAGACTCCAGCGTTTAATATCCAATTTTTGAATTCCTTGGATTTTTATTCCCATAAAATGAATTATTCCCCAACAAATAGCCCCTTCAACCAGCATTAAACAATCTAAAATATTCTTCCCCCGCACCAAAAATTCCACCCATAAAAAAATAGAACCCCTTTCATAAACTCCATAAACTCGAATAACCCCAAAAATCGCGAGAATTCTGTACAAAACCAGGTCGTCAGCGCATGGAATAAAATTTCCCCAGTGTAAACCGTACTTTTCAGTTGGCACATTCGCGATCCCGGTCCAACCGGCTTTACAATCTCTCCCCCCTCTCCCCCCCACCCCGTATGTAAACCTCACCCAACTGAGCCAACACCATAATGCCCTCTCGCTCTCTCATCACCCAGTGGATGTGCGGGGGCAGGCGGAAAGCGGAGCCTGTTTTTTTCATGAGTAGCCTGCACACGCGGAGTAAAGGGAGACCACCTATATACACAATACTGGTTCTCCATCCGTCGCGCATGCGCCCGACGAAATGTGACGTCGCACATTGTGACGCCACGCTCGCCCATTGGCCCCTCAGTTTGCTGAACGTTATACTCCGCGTTACGAGGGGGGAAAAATTGTGAAGAGCCGAGAGCGGTGTGCGGAGCGCAGGGGAGGGATCCCACGGATACCCCGTAAGCCAGCCTTACCACCGCATTCTCGAGCGTTCCGCGTTCGTCATCGCTCGTGTTTCCATTCCCCCTTTCACGTTTAAACAGCGTTAAAACTGGTCAAACATTGGGCCATCGTTCTGAAGTTGCAACGAATCCACCCGCTCAATGAGTAGGTGGACGTGTGAAAGACGCAATAGTGTTTACGAAACAAAAAAGTGATCCGAGTTTATTTAATGTTGTGAGTTTGGATTAACAACTGTCCCCCCCCCCTTGATTCGCTGAATTTTCACGATTTCGCAGTGACCCCACCCTTCGTCGTGCCGCCTCCAGTGGCAAACGGATCTCTTTTTTACTCGTTCTGGCTGTCGTGGAAGCCGAAATAGTGCGTCTTTTGTTCGCGTTACGATCGTCAACTCGATCTTGTTTTTTTTTTTGTGATGAAGCGATAGAGGATTAATCGTGCCTGTGTTTGTGATTGATAAACGCATTGCTCTTGTGATTTGTGTGGTGCACTGTGTGGATTTTTGTGGGGGGCGAGAGAAGAGAATAATCATCAAGATGATGGGAAAACGCACGCACTGTTATTTGTGCGATTTGCCGCGCATGCCGTGGGCCATAATAATGGATTTTTCGGAGCCCGTTTGCCGTGGCTGTGTGAATTACGAGGGCGCTGACAGGATTGATCTTGTTCTTGAGTCGGCTAAACAGCTGAAGAAGGCTCATGGCTTTCAGGACACACGTCCGTCAGCGTCCAAGGGCTACAGGGCAACGGGACATGCCGAGCACAATGGTGGAACTAATCTCGATGTATTGCCCATACAAAATACCAGCCAGGCCCACTCTAGACACCACAATATCGCTAATTACTCACAATTGCATCATCGTAATTCTATAACGGAGTTCAATTCATCGACTAGACAGCAACAACAGCAGCAGCAGGCTCAGCAACAATTGGCGGCTGCTGCTAGACAGCACGAGGAGCCACACGATATCGTTAAGCACGAGCTGGTTAAGCACGATATGGTCAAGCACGATATGCATAATGGCATTAGAAATACCAATGTTAGGATAACGAATGCACATCTTGCTGCTGCACATCATGTGGGGCTCAATCACACCAGGGGAACACAGCTCAAGAGGGGGATATCCACTATTGACGAGGATGAACATCCGGAGAAGAAGTTCTCCATGGATGAACAACATCCGAGTAGGCCACCGTTGACGAGGGGCGACTCGTTGCCCGCTGTTAGCCTTGCTGTCAGTTATGTACAGGACAGGAGCAAGGAGAAACATCCTGTCAGGGCGCCCAGCTTCGAGACCGCAACCACTTTCAAGCCGAATGGTGAGTCGCATTTTTATTTATTTATTTTATGAGGGGGGAGGCTGAAACTGAGAAAAAGTTAACTCTGCGAAGAAATTTTCTTGGGGGAGGAATTTGTTTTTTTTATTACAATTATGGGGAATTTTGACATGATTGTGGTATTTATGACCTTGAAGGAACACCATTGATTTTCAATTTTTTGTAATTTGCGATTTCCTTACGGAAAATAATTTGGAATAATTCTAATTGTTAGTAATTGGTGATGGAGCTCAGTCGTGGTGGCATGCAGCGTCATCATCCCATAATTGTAATATTTGGAGATGAATGGTCTGGAGAAATACACTTTTAAAATAAATTGATTCTCCCAAAAAAAATAATTTGGGGTCTTGGTGGGTGAGACGAAAGTACAGCGAGAAAAGAAATTAGTTTTGCAAAGGAATAATTTTTTTTTATGACCTTGAAGGAACTCCATTGATTTTCATTTTCTTCTGATTTGAGATTTTTTTATGTAAAATTATTTTGAATAATTTTAACTCTAATAATTCTAATTGTTTGTAACTGTTGATGGGGTTCATTCAAGGCCATTTGTAGAATGAAATGACGTTCTATTATTGTAATATTTGGAGATGACAGGTCTAGACAAATACACTCCTAAAAAAATTAATTCTCAAAAAAAAATTTTTCGATGAAAAATTAATTTGATGGGGTTTTGTTGGGATGATGAGGCTGAAACAACATTTTCGGAAGTTTAACGGTCAAACGAGATCATACTCGTATGTATGTGCCTACTTTTTGGAGCGCACGAGGTGCCTCAGGAATTGAAAATATTTGTTCCTTATATTCGCTCAGATCGAAGCTTCCGTTACACTGGGAGATGAGAATATTTTCTAGCAGCAAAAAAAATCTGGCTAGAAATCTCCCTCTGAAGCGAGACAAATAGGGTAAGTCTTGTGACAAGAATGGATAGTGTCTGGATCAAGATTGTTAAAATTAAATTTAGTTAGCGAGTTTTTTTACACAAACTCGAATAAGTTATTCGGAGAAGAATCCATTTCCATTTCATGATTTTTGGCATTTAAACGAGGAAAAAATTGTGCCAAGAACGGATATGAAACCAGATATCTGATATTTTTTTTTTCACGTTTTTTTCAGTTCATTTTGTTGGGGGGATTCTAGGTGAGTGTGATTGAGATAGGTCAGTTGGAGGCGATAGACTGAGAATTATTGTTGACACTCTTGGATGGGGGGGGCTTTGGGAAGGTTTTTGGATAGGTTTAGTGGTACTGTTGAATATTTTTGGGTAAAATTTTCGTCGAGTGAGTGTGTCAATGAAATTCCATGGAATTTCAACATTAAAAAGTCACGATTTGATGGAATAATGTATGGAAAGTGAATCTGAGTTTTATTATTCCATGAAAGTTGATAAAAATTAGAAAAATTCATGTAAATATATAGGTTTGATGGTACTGTGGAAATTTTTGAATGAAATTTGCATCGAGTGAGTGCGTTAGTAAAATTTCATGCAATTTCGACATTGAAAATTCAGAATTTCATCGAAGAATCTATGGAAACTGAATCTCTATTAATCCAGGAAAATTCATCGAAATCAATGAAATTTAGGTAACTAAACAGGTTTGATGAATACTTTTGCATTTTTTTGGATAGAATTTTATGGAAACTGAATCTTTGTTCAATTATTCCATGAAAAATTACAGTAATCAGGGAAATTCTAGTGAATATAAATATTTGATGGTGCGATTGAACATTTTTGGATAAAATTTTCATCGAGTGAGTGTGTTGGTAAAATTTCATGGAATTTCGACATTGAAAATTCTCCACTTCGTGGAAGAATCTATGGAAAGTGAATCCTCAGTTCTATTAATTAATCCAGGAAAATTCATAGAAATCAGAGAAATTCCGGTGAATATACATGTTTGATGGAGCTTTGAGTGTGTCAGTAAAATTTACTGGAATTTTGACATTGAAAAAGTTCTGACCAAAAAATTTGCCGTCTCTCTCACGTCTCGAGATATCCAGCAAAAACTGACGACGAATCAAAATTAAACTGTCGCATTGTACTATACTTCCCTGCTGATTCAATGAATTCCAATCGTTCCATAACGGATTGGCCTTCAAGCCATCCCTTCCTCCGAAATACAAAACGAATCATAACCCCGAAATGATTTTATTCAATCGTCAGTCTCACTAATGAAAAGCAGAAGAGAAAAAACAGCGTGTGACGTCTCGTCGTGACGTCACCAGCGGTATATTTAGAGCAATGAATGAGTTCCGTTGTCTTCTCGATATGAATCTCTTGGAATTCGTCTCGGTCTGTCCTCTCACGCACATCTCACATCAGATATTCAACTCCACCTCAATAGAGCGAATTTCTTTTTGTTTTCACCCATCGAACAGCTATTTTTACACCAGTCTTCGGGGTTAGGGTAACCAGACCAATAAGTAGATACCGACCAAGACAGACGATTTCAACTTTTTTTTCGGTATTCACTGTTAGAAATTTTTTGAAATTCGAAAAATTCGGAAATTCATGAGTTTTCAGAGGAACGTGAATATTCAGAAACAGAACGACATGGATTTTCAAATTTCCTCTGAATTTTCTGAATATTCACAGAATAATTCAACTGAAAAAACAAGTATTTTATTGATTTCCAGATCATTTGAATAAAAAATTAATGAAATATGGAATTTTTCAATGACAAGATTTCCTGAAATTTAAGTGAAAATCGAAGACGATAAACATTTCCGGAATTTGGCACGGAAAATTCAGACAAAAATGTTTAACAGTATTCTATAAAAAATATAATATCAATTGTATTACAATGCATGATGTCACGATGATTTTATTATTTATTTATGAACATTTTTAACGTAAAAAAAATTCTCGGGAGGTACAATATTGGCCCCCAGTGGCGGTGTGCCCGTTCATTATCATCGAAAAGGATTATCCCTCATTTTTAAACATACAGAGGGATGAATTTGTTTGAATAAACATTAAATATGACGGTCTGTCCATTGGTAACTCTTCCTCTTCTCGTCAGTCGTCTATCTATCGAGTGTTTAGGTTGTATCCCACTTTTTCCTCATTTTATCATTTATTCCTTCATTGTTTTCACATCAAATCATTATTTTCCCACAATTGAAATATTTTTTCTGGTACGAGATCGAATGACAATTCGATAGATTCCATATGATTCATCACGTTAATATTTAAGTAGATAAAAATCAATATATTCCTTCAAGCACACGAATTTCTATAGTACTACTAAGGAGAAATTCTTCGAAATCCATGGCAACTTCAATTGAGAATTAATACATACTTCGTTGGAAATCACTACCACCAACGTCACTATCAGTGATCAATATCAACATTATCAACAAAATCAGTATCATCATCATCATGTATGCGATTTCTCTTTCAGACATTCAGGAATAAACCCGTGACATCTCCTTTTTATATAAGAGATAAGCTAGAACCCATCGTTGGGGTATTCAGGTGATTTATCAATTTTCGATTTCTTGACGGACCTCAAAATGTCCTGAAGGGCTAACAGAAGGCCATCATTTTCTCGCAATTATTAAACAAATTTCCCATTCAAAATTATTAATATTTATTCAACCCAAAACACATTGATCTTCATCATCACCTCCTGGAGATTAATGTGCTTCGATTTTTAAAAATATCGATAACTTTTAGCAGGAAATTTGTTCAAAAATTGGAAAAATTAACGGTATTGTGTTACCCCTTAACTGTCTGTCTATCGGTCTGGTTACCCTATTCAAAATCATCGGCAAGTGAAATCGATTCGACATTTCATTTGTCTAGCTGCTCTACTCAGTTTATTTAATACTCTCTTATTTCCCCAGCACGTGTAAAATCTATCGAGTTCTGGTTATTTCTAGGTACACACACAAGTGTTGGATGTTTTTTTTTCTCTGTACACCCCCCACCCGCAGGGTCGGTGCTTTCTTCTATCGACACGTGGAAAGCCCGTCTATTGGTGATATTGCCCCGGAGTTATTTTTCATTCAAATGTCTCCATTTGTCGGTTTCCTGTATTTATCAATACAAGTTCGATGATGTTATCAAACATTGCTGAGAATAATTGAGATATCGTCGAGAGTGAGATCATTCTACTCCGGACTATTCCTGTCTTGCTAAGTGAAAATTGCGAAAGGTTCGATTTAGAATCCCGGAAAAAATAGACCAAGGGAAATATTGGAAATGGGTGATTTTGAATAAAAATCAATCCGGTTGAGTTGGAACTTTTCTTTGTTTGAAATTATATACGAGGAAGACACATCCACACGCTTTGAGCTCCTCAGATGGACTAACTAAAGAAACAAAGATCCCAGAGGTCTGAAACCCTAGCGACATCGACCCACAAAGGTCTCTATTCATTTACAGATGTTTAGACTGACAAACCAAATGCCCAAACATTCGTCCACGCTCTTCTCAGAATTTCAGATCACAAAAATGTTCTCTTATAATAATATAAACATACTGTGAAATATAAAATTAATTTTTGTAATCATGGCATGTGAACTCCAACAGGAAATTTTTAATTTGGGTGGGTTTTAGCACGTTTTGGGTGTGTGGGCTGTTTTTTCCCGGTCTATTGTTTCCACCTACCACCGCAACTACAGCACTCCCACCGGCCAAAATCAGAATTGAGGAAATTGCCCATAAAGTACTCAATTTTCACAGCAGAAATTCCTTAAAATTCCACTGTCGTACTTTCATCACTTGACAAAAACCTCAAAAAAGCGGACGAAAATGTCAGCCATAATTTTTTAACCAAGTGAATGCTTCATCCTTTCTCCCTGAGTCGAGAAATGTTCATTGCCCCCAATGTTTTTTAACTGCCCACCGTATGAAATACAACAGGGGGTTAGAAATCCCCCAATAAAAGAACCCGTTACTCCTCAGAAAGGACTAGGCCCCCACAAAGGGATAAAGGAGGGACTGGTCGACCAAAAGGGCACTGTTTCCTCCAACAACC